ATCTCAAGGAGGTCAGGTGCAGATTAGGGCTTATAGGAGTGCGACTCGTCTGAGCGTGTAGAGGGGCAAACCATGACGGCAGTGGGTGCAGACGCCCTGCAACAAAACGGGAAAGGAGAAGACTCACGTTAGTGTCATCACCATCGGACACATCAATTCCGGTAAATCGACCACCACCGGTCATTCTCCCTCATGGTATTACGGTGCCATGAACACAGCCAGAAGACCACAGCCACCCGGTGACAGGCGACAACAAAGGAAGGTAGTGTCGAGGAGGTGCAGGGGGGTTATTCAAAAGCAATGACGTGGGGCCTCCATCTCGTTCTCGATGTGGAGGAACTGTTGATGGGTGACGGGCTGCGTCGCGTAATTTCACAAGGTATGTGGCTCTTTCTGACCACAAATCTCAGCCACAACCACCTACCACCCCAGCTAAACTATGTCAACACCGACATCGAATAAGCGATTCGCCACTCCCCCTCCAAACGCCAACCCATCTCCCAAGTCCACATCGACCAAACGACATCCCCCATCAATCGCGTGCACGATCAGACATTACAGCCCTCCAGACAATGCATTAAAACAGTTAGTAATAGGTATAAGTTGAGGGGAATACAGTTATTAATTGGCGAGGCCGGTTGTAGGAACCTGTTAGAGGATTAACGCCTATTCACGATATCCGAGTAACAACGACGAGTGAGTCTGGCGAGCTTTCGGTGTGACAGAGTTGCTGCACTGGTGTATAGACCTCTGATGAAGGTCAGATCTGAGACAAGAGTCAATCTTACTACGCGAGACGCTACTGATGCTCTGGAATGCCACGAGCGTAGACGTACTCTCTTTCCTCGGAAAGCCGCAGGAAAGTGTAGCAAGACTTTAAGGATTGATGAGAGAGAGAGAAAAGTATCAGTACCACTGGAGAGTCACGAGCTCTCCTCGAATGAATCACTATGCTACTGACCTTGATACTATATCCCTATCACGCGTGTAGTCGAGTCGTGAAGACGATGCTCGAGGGCTGCAAGCCGTGAAAAGAATGATGGTTAAAAAGATACCTTACTACACGTGTGACTGAGGGAATTGTATGTAAGCGTGACTACTGTGACTGAGTGACTACGTAGAATCGGAAATACCAGTAAGAAGGGAATGGATGGGTCAACCAGTAATCCTACCCATTACAGAGCCCCCCTATTTCCGATTTGACGTGGTCTGTATTCTTCGGGCAACTCAATGTGCGCAAGACGCCGTTTGTTCCAGTCCAACGGAAAGCCATCGATGATCCTGGAATGTAGGCGAGCCAGCATGTCCGGGACTAACTGATTAAGGCGTTCCTTG